CCCCGTGTTCCCCCATCCTGGCCCCCCACCTTGAACATCTCGTCGCGCAGGGGCTGGTTGGTCATGACCCCACCCCAGCCCCCCACCTCGAACATCTCGTTGTCCCGCAGCGGCCGGTTGGTCATGACCCCACCCCAGCCCCCCCACCCCCGTGTTCCCCCGGCCCCCCACCTCGAACATCTCGTTGTCCCGCAGCGGCCGGTTGGTCATGACCACGCCGTTGTTGAACTCGTCCAGGGGGCGGCGCCGCTCGGCCGTCTTGTTGTTGTTGCTGAGTTTGATGAGGGTCCCGCACTTCTCGTGGAAGAGCAGGGCGTCGTTGGAGGGGAGGGGGGCCCCCCCGCCCGGCGGGGGGCTGCCCAGGCTGATGCTCAGCAGGCTGTCGTTGTAGGCCGACAGGATGGCGTTGCTCACCACCTCCGACAGCTCCATGCTGGACAAGCCTGGGGAGATGTTCGGGGGGGGGGGGGGGGAACGGACAGGAATCAGGGATGGACAGAAGGATGCGGGGGAGGGAGAACCAGGGACGGACAGACAGATTTTGTGGGGGGAACCAGGGATGGATGGACAGATGCGGAAAAGGGGGGAGAGAGAGGAATCAGGGACAGACAGACGGACGTGGGGCGAGGGAGAGAAGACAGACAGACGTGGGGGGAAACCAGGGATGGACAGACAGACAGACGTGGGGGGGAGGAAGGGGAACCAGGGACGGACGGACGGGGGACCAGGAACAGACAGTTAGGGATGGGCTCACACGCAGGAGCCTGAGTCCCCGCCCATCCACCCCCCGCTCCTCCCCGTCAAGCCCTCTGGGCCCAGATTTACCACCCCAGGGCTAGGAGAAGGGATCAGCCCACAAGGGGAAGCCCCGCACCCCCCGGCTAGTAGACGGGGCCGGGCCATTAGGAGCCCAGGTCCAGGCCGGCTGGGGTCTAATTTGAAAGCCCGACCCGGCAGCGCCGCCTCCTGACCCGAACTCGAACTGGGGCCACCGCACAATTCACGGGTGGGGCGGCCACACCCCTCCCACCGTGCCTAGCGCCTCCACTGGGAGCGAAGGCTTCTGGGTAACGTCCTGGGCAAAGCTCGATGGGACAGGCCGGCCCGGGGGCAGCACCGGCTCGGAGGTCCAAGCCCAAATTGCGCCGCGGGAGTGGTGTAGTCGGGGGGCCAGTCGGGGGCACTCACCGGTCTCAGCCTCCAGGCTGTTGGGGAATTTATCCGGGCGGCTCTGGTTGCGGGGCAGGGCCAGGGCTGGGAAGAGAAACACGAGGAAGAGGAGTGAAGCCAGTGTTACACCCCTCGATCCCGACCTGCCAGCCCTGCCCGCCCCCCAGCTCTGCCAACGCCCCTCACTCACGACCCACAGCCCCCCGGCGGGAGACGTCTCCTCACGCACACGGGGGGGGGGGGGGGGCGCCAAGGACACAGAGGGACAGGCTCGGGCTCTGGGTAATCGGAACGGACCAGAGACACGGGAACTGGGTGGTCATCGGGGTTTCTTTAACCCTCGACTCCTGGGGGAATTTGTGTATCGTTACAGACGTCCTTGCCGACAGGTATTTTTGTAATAAAATTACCAAAATAATTGAAATTGGTGTGATCACGCAGTGTTATTTTGACAAATAAGATTTGCAGAATTTTAAAATATTGGGCGCAGAATTTATTTTCTTTTTGGCGCTGAATTTTTAACCGTTTGCCGCCGAATTTTTAACCTTTTGGTGCCAAATTTATTTTATTTTTGCTGCAAAATAGTTAACCCTTTGCCGCAAAATTTATTTTATTTTTGGTGCCAAATTTTTAACCGTTTGGGCGCCGAATTCGCCCAGGAGCAACCTCTAAAGTAGAAGCTTCACACCCCTGGGCACAACGGGGGCACGTTTAAGTGGCTGGGCGGCCTCCAGGCTCAGCGCTGGCTCCGAGAAGGGGCAGCAGCCATCGGTACCCAGGAAACGAGCCAGGCGGGAACCGGCACATTAGCCTGTCAACAGATGAACGCACCCCGGAGGTTCGGATCCCCCCATCACAGCAGGGGTGATGTTGATACCAGCTGGCAGAAGGGGTGCAGAGGAGATCCCCCAGGTCTGATGTCTCTAGAGCAACGCACCAAAGGGCAGACGCGAGATCGCTGCCGCCAGCCAGAGACGTGCTGGTCGGCCTAGCCCTTGCGAGATGCGTGGACGGGGGATACTGAAGGAGTTTTGCATCTACACTGAAAATGACGTTCTTCAAATCCAGGAGCGAAGACACCAGGCAGGAGACAGCAGACGCTTCTCTCTCTGTCCGGCCTCGGGGAACCTCCATTTGGAGACGGAGCCGGCAGCTAATCGAGATTGGGGCACAGGCAAGAAAGGAGCCCCCGGAAGAGGACAAGCAGCACGGGGCGTGTGGTGTTTACAAGTAAAGACAACAGGTTGGACGGCGGTAGTTTGAGGGGGGATCCGGCAAGGTCGTTTCTGGGGACACTGGAACGTCCAGCGGACACCCCGAGGGGGAGGTCGGGGAGTGCCTGTCACTCGCCAGGAGCAAGACAGCGGGGCCGGTTGTGTTGGCTGTGGAAATCAGAGGGCTGACCCGCCGCGGACACACACGGAGCGTGTGTTAGTGGGGTGCCCCCGGGAAGAGTCTTAGGCGGCAGAAAAAAGGGGGGGATCTCTACCTTCATCTCCCGCCGCGCCGTCCTCGGCCTCCTCCGGCTCGCCGGGCACGACAGTGACCTGGGTGCACTTGCCGTAGAGATCCACCACGGCCCAGACGCGGGGTGGGATGCCGGTGGCGGCCACGCCGCAGTCCTGCCCGTTGACCCAGAGGCGCAGCTCGCCGGCGGCCGTGCGCTGGATGCCCACGCGGTCGCCCTCGCCCAGCTGGTCGAGGTCCTGGCCGTACTCCTCCAGGATGGAGCGCCCGTCCCGCAGCACCGAGCAGCCCGAGATGATCCACGAGCCGCCCTTCAGCCCCGTGGCGCTGCTGGGGAAGTCCAGGTGGTCGGGGTCCAGCGCCGTCACCCCGATCTCGATGGAGCCACTCCACGAGTTCACCTGGGGGGAGGGAAAGACGGCAGGAGTCAGCGCTGGCCCTTTTGAGGGCTCCCCCTTGCAGCCAGGGCCGGCCCCAATGCACCCACTGGCCCCCTTGTTTCAGGCGCCCCCCCCCCCCCCCCCCCCCCCCGCCGCGCCCCCCCTCGCGGCCGCGGCGCCCCCCCTCCCCCCCCCGGTGCTCGGCGCTGCGCACCTTGCGGTCGATGCGCACGGCGAAGACGCGGCCGGGCCGCAGCGGCTCGCGGCTCAGCACCAGCCCGTGGTTGAACTCCTGGCCCGGCTGGGAGCGCGCGGCGCTGCGGCCCCCCTGCGAGAGCGTCACCAGCTTCCCCGTGCGCGGGTGCAGCTCCCCGCCCGGGCCCGACATCCCGCCCCGCGCCCGGGCCGGCCGCGCCGCTTTACGGCCGCCGCGCGACGCCTCTGTCAGACGGCCGCCGCCGCTTCTCTCACACGGCGCCGCCGCGCTTTACGGCAGCGCCGCCGCCGCGCCTCTCCCACCGCGCCGCCGCGCTTTACGGCAGCCTCGCGACGCCTCTCAAACGGCCGCCACGCTTTATGGTCGATTCGCGACGCCTGTCAAACGGCGGCCGCCGGCGCGCTTTACGGTAGCCTCGAAAATTTTCTCACGACGATCTCGCTTTACGGCCGCGTCGCGACGCGCTATCCCGCAAGGGAAGCACGATCTCTCCTCCTGGCACGTTGATGGCGCTCTCAGGGCCGCCTCGTTTTATGGCACCATGGAAACGGGGCTTGGGGCCGCTTTACGGCAGCGACCGGGGCCCTTCTCGCTTTACGGCGTTGCTTTTACTGCACTCAGGGAACAGCTCCACCACTGCGACCTCGCTTTACGGCACAGTGTGAATGCTGCCAGCAGCCGGGCTTGACGACCGTGAATGAACGGTTGCGCTTTACGGCACTGCGGAACCCGCACTCGCCACAGACCAACTTTTGCGACAGGACGGGAGACATTGCTTTACGGCAGCGTGGCATTTACAAAAAGAACGGGGCCGGCTTCGGATCACTGACGCTTTACGTTGACACGGCACCGTCTGTTGCTAGGGCCCGCCGTGAGCAGGCCCCACTTGGGCGGCCGTGGCGGGGCAGGGAGGCATCGGCTTTGTTTCACGACATTGTCGTGTTTCACAGAACCAGGATGTTTTGCTTGACGGCAGCGTGGCCAAAATGCTTTTCCCTCCTTGCAGCTGTTGCCCGCGTTACGGGAGGGCGGGGCTGGGGAAGGGGGCGTGACGCAATAATGAGAAGCGATTAGCCCAATGACAACGAATGGAAACAGGAATTGCCCCGAGGAAACCATCAGCAAATAGCTCATTACTGTCAATGCCTGGTGCCGTTTTAATTAGTGCAAATGACTGGTGCGGCGATACTGGTGCAATTCACTAATGGGTAGTATTGGTACAAGTATAGTTCGTGCAAAGAAATATCTAGCATAAAGTGGTGGAATTAAACTGCTCGTGCAGATAGTCGTGCGAGCAATAATTTAGTGCAAGGGATTGGTGCAATACATTAGTGCAAGGGATTGGTGCAATTCTAATAGGTGCAGTTCACTAAATCCAGGAATTCATCCTTACAACAGCGGCCTCACGTCACAGCAGGTTGACGCTTCCCTCTGGGCTGCCTCGCACTACCCCACTATAATAAGTGAAAAGAATCCATGCATTCGTGCAAACAATGAGTGTGAGCCGTGGGTGAGACTAATCACGAGGGCACATCACTAGTGTCAATAATTAGTGCGAATAACTAACTACTGTGGATAATCATTCGGGTAGATCAGTGGGTTGAACCGTAGGCAAAGACAGGTGACCAGTACGGCTAACATTATGGGGGCTCCGGGCTGGGGCAGGGGAGTGGGATGTGGGGGTGAGGGCTCCAGTTGGGGGGACAGGCTCTGGGGTGGGGCTGGGGATGAGGGTTTGGGGTGCAGGAGGGGGCTCCGGGCTGGGACCAAGGGGTTTGGAGGGTGGGAGGGGGATCAGGCCTGGGGCAGGGGGGATGAGGGCTCCAGCTGGGGGTGCGGGCTCTGGAGTGGAGCTGGGGATGAGGGGCTTGGGGTGCAGGAGGGGGCTCCGGCCTGGGATCAAGGGGTTCGGAGGGCAGGAGGGGGATCAGGGCTGGGGCAGGGGGTTGGGGTGCAGGCTCTGGCCGGCGTTTATCTCAGGTCCCTCCTCCGGCTCCTACGTGGGGGCGCGGCCAGACGTTTCTGCGCGCTGCCCCGTCTGCAGGCACCGCCCCTGCAGCTCCCATTGGCTGTGGTTCCTGGCCAATGAGAGCTGCAGGGGCACCTAGGAGCCGGGGCATGCCGCTGCTAACGGGAGCCGCGTGGAGTGGCCCCCGACCCTCCTCCCCAGGCCGTAGTTTGCCCACCCCTGATGTGGATTATCTAGTCTGCCCTCCGGCAGATCACATGGAGACCAACAATTTAAAGCATCGGCCAGAAAAGGCACCTGGTCCAGATCGGCAACCCTCGGACCCCTCCCCTCCCCGAGGCGGGGCTGGGCTGGGCTCCATGCGCCCTGGGTCCCCTCCCCGAGGCGGGGCTGGGCTCCGTGCGCCCTGGGTCCCCTCCCCGAGGCGGGGTTGGGCTCCGTGCGCCCTGGGTCCCCTCCCCGAGGCGGGGCGCAGGGCGGGGCCGCGGGGAGCCGTGCGCTCTCTCCTCTCTCCGCACCCCGGGCAGGGCTGGTGGTATCGGTGCCTCCTTGCGCGGTGCGCTCCAGGGCTGCTCTTTGCCTCTCTCCCCAAGGCGCTCGGGTGGTTTCGGAGCCTTCTCCGGGCCGTGCCGTGCCGGGGAGCCCGAACCTCCGTGGCTGGTTCTCTCCCTCCGTCCAGGATGACGGTGAAACTGGACTTCGAGGAGTGTCTGAAGGACTCTCCCCGGTTCAGGTGGGTCTCTCGCTGGGGCGGGGCAGTCCGGTTCGGTCCCGGTGCCGGTCCGGTCCGGTTCTCCTTCCACCCACTGGTTTCCAACCTCCCCTTCCCCCGGGGCGGCTTGTGCGCTTTTACGCTTCTCACCGTGCGCCTCTGGCGTTGGTGCGAAGCCGTGCCCGGGCGGGAAGCGAGGACAGGGGTGGGGGGCTGGTGGCTCCCCGGCTCTGTAGGGGGGGTTGGAGCAGTGTAAATGCTGTAAATGCTGTTTTTTTTGGGGGGGGGGAGCTGGCTGTTCCCAAGCTGGTTATATTGGGGGGCAGGTTGAGCTGTGAGGGAACCCCTCGGCCAAACAGCCCCCCCAATTTAATCTCTCGGTGGGGGGAGCCTGGAGGTGGGGGGCTGGGAGGCATCTCTCTTGGGGTGAAACTGAGGGGTGATCCCCTATCTTGGGGAGGGGTACTGGGGGGCTGTGAGGTGACCCCCTCACCTGCCCCCTATACCACCCCCCTGTAGTCCTCCACTCCACCTCACCCCCTACCCCCTCTACAGGTGTCCCCCCTGCCACACATCATCCATCCTTCTGCTCTTCCCTGCCCCCTCATGTCTCCCCTCCCATGCAGCCTGCACCCCACTCCCGCTCATAGCCCACATTTCCTGCGTGTGTCTTCCAGACACCAGGGAGCCCACATGGCATGAGGTTCCCCCCACACACACCCTGAAGTGGGGGGGGGGCAGGAAGCGGCCGGTGCGCAAGGTGCTGCGCAACCCGAAGGGCCGGAAACCAGAGCTGCGGCCGGGGAGGATTAGCAACTGGGGGCGGGGAAGACACAGCTCCCCCTGCGGGGATCAGGGCCCTAGGGGCAGGGGACAGAGGGATGGACACACACGGCCCCCCCATAGGGATCAAGGCCCTGGGGGCAGGGGACTGAGGGACAGACACACACACACACACACACCGAGGGGATCAGGGCCCTGGGGGCAGGGGACGGACACACACGGCCCCACTCCCCATGGGGATCAGGGCTCTGGGGCAGGTGACAGAGGGACGGACACACATGGCCCCCCACGGGGATCAGGGCGCTGGGGCAGAGGACGGAGGGACGGATACACACGGCCCCCATGGGGATCAGGGCCCTGGGGCAGGGGACAGAGGGACGGACAC